CCTGCTTCTCTCTCTCTTGGGGGGGGGGAACCCAGTTTAGTAGCTGATTTGGTAGCTGTTCCAGATTGATGGATAAACTTCATGTGAGACACCAGTTTACACATAATGGCCTATTTGTTTCCCACTTTGTATGTTTTTCCTGGTACTCTAGGCAAAGAAAACTCTTGGTGTCCCTTGGGAAATTGGCTTTCATTTTCAATCTTCTAGTGACATTGGTGAAGGGAAGAGTTTTTTAAATTAAAATGGAATTTACACTTTTAACAATAGTTTGAATATCGAATTCTTAAAGAAAATGTAATATTTGCTTCATTCTGTTGATTCATTAAGTCCATATGCAATTTCCACCTTTTTTTTTTTTCATTTAAAAAAGTAGAAATTTTAACAAGTTATGAATTAGGTACTGGAATTGCATTCTAAAAAAAGAAGACAACAATCTCTCTCAAATAAAATATGTAATCCAAGTAATAACAGAATACTTTATCAAAAGAAGTCAACAGTATTTTTTTTAATGGGCTGAGTTATTGATCCTTTGCCACTGAGAGCCTATTAAGAGTGAATTACTCTTGCTTATATTAGGATGTGGTTGCAGACACAGCACATCACAAAATACTGTTTTGGGAATCATAAACTCTCTCTTGCCTCAGTGTACCTGGTTTATTGATAAGAAAAAAAGGATTAAGTTAGCAGCTCTGCTGGCTGGTGATTTTGTGCTAGAAAGAAATTAGTTATATTAAGAAACATACGAAAATACATGAAGTGCACTTTTTTTATATTGTATGGAGTGATTACATTAGTCATTTGTGAGTATTTCATTTATAGTATTTGTTTTCCTGCTTTGTAAATATGAAAGTGTGTGAAGAGCTTGCAGTGAAAACCTTGACACTGAATGAATAGCTAATAATTGCAAAGGGCAACAGTAAGTCCCATATATTGCCCTTTGCTGTACTTGTTACGTAAATATAGGTCTGCAATTACTCCTACAGTAAAATTGAAATTGATTTTTTAGCAAATTAGATTTTTTGCTTTGTATTGCCTGGAGTGATCTGCTATATGAGATTATAGTATTTTCTGAGTACAACTAAACATTAAAAAAAATCAACTTAAGACAAGTGTTTAATATTACTAGTTATTGCTAAATAGCTAATAGGTCATATGAAATAAGCTTAACTATTAAAAAATTATGTTTGTAGTATTGTAGCCATGGTGGTCCCAGGATATTAGAGACACAATTTGGTTCAATAAAAGATATTACCTCACCCACCTTGTGTCTGTTATAAAATTACAATTTTAGACAGCTTTGTAATTAAGAGCACACTGTGCTGGCTGCAAATGGAAGGAAATCTTAAAATTACTAAATCTAAAGACACACGAAAAGAGAAAATAAGTTTAATGAGGTTTTTTCAGTTTGAAGCATTTTATAGGGATGGTCATTTAAATTAAAACAGCATAGTCAAATATAGGTGGAACACACATGCTCCTCGGGTTTTAAAATAAATGGAAATGGATGAAGCTTTATAGTGTATTTAACTTTTGTATGGTTTTCTTTTTTATATCTATTTTAAGATGGCGTTAACAGACTTAAGATGAAATAGTGCAAAGGCCCCTTTCCTCCTCCAGCCCTCCCCCCAAAACTCCCACTCCCTCAGAATTAGGATAAAGATGAACTCCTCTGTCTCTTTGTGACCCTGCATTCAGGAGGAAGTGGTATAATGGAAACACACACTAGTCAGATGGTATGACACAACGAGTGTCATTCAGATGATTTGATTACTGTCACTTGTATTCATTTTATGAGCATCTAGTTTTTGCCCTTTACAAGTTCTTTATGGATGAACGGATTTTTAGATGGCTAAGGGACTCTGTGTTCTTCTTAGGGTTGCCAGTTTTGGTTGGATATATTCCTGGAGGTTTCATCACATGACATAATCTTTGATTAAAGATTAATCTTTCATTCCTGGGGACTCCATAACAATCCTGGAGGGTTGGCAACCCTAGTTCCTCTCCTAGTGGAAATGTAGTCCCATCTAACATAGTTACCAGGCATCCCATCTCCTCTTTTTGACTTTGAGGTTTTGTGTGTTAAAAATATTTTGTGGGACTTTTGCTCTTTTCATTTTGGGTATATTGTTTATTTGTGTGTTTGTGTATACTGTGGATGAGTTACTTTAAGGAGACATTTACTTATTTCCATGGACTTATCTGTATTACTATTTAAATTGTGCTTCGCTGGATAAAGGCCTATACCCTAGTCTTATGGATCATTGCTGACCTGGGTGTACTCTTTGATATATTTCATTTTTTACTTTGCATTATGCTGGGTTCATATGTAGTATGTTTGTTCCTGTGTTTTTCTTTATCTAATAACATTAGTTTAAAAAAAGGAAAAGATTTTATGGTTCATATGGAAACACAACATTTAAGTATAAAGTATTAACCTTCCATATATCTTGTCTAACTCTTACCATGCTAATTAATAAGATATTTTTATGTAATTATCTTTGTCTCCAATGACTCATCTTCTTTTCTTGCTTATCAGCATGATCGTAGTAATTCCCACAGACAAACACTGTGCTGTTACAAAAAGAGGATTATGATCTCTTGGCAAGAGCTAGAGGTATTGGAATATGAAGGAGAGGGCTCATGTTTGCAAACATTAATAATCAATAATTAACCATTTAATGGGGAAGGGGCAATAAATATACATAAAAGATAAATTAATATAAGCCGAACTTCATTTCTAAATGTTTATGCATCTGAAAAGTACATATTTAAATCCATAAGGTTTGACCGTTTTCCCAAGTTAGTCTTCCATTCAAATACAAAGTTAGCATTATCAGTTCCCTTGGTACAAAATTCATCTCTCAGTTGTTGCCATTGTTCATAATAATTTAAATTGCTAAACAAACAGAATGAGATTAGCATAACTGTGTGAACAAAGCTATTAACCAGGTACAGAAAATATGCTATGTTTAAAAAAACAAAAAAAGTCATCTGTGTACTGATGAATTAACCATTAAGGTCCTGATTCAGTAGAGAAATAATATACATGCTTAACTTTAATTACATGAGTAAAATTAATCATGTACATAAGTGTTTGAAGGACTAAGGCCCAAAAGAGTGGAGTTTTAAAAGATTAGATATTTAAATGGTCAAATACAGGAGATAGATTTTCTATCTAATCCCCTTTCTCTTCTTCACCTTTCCTGAATTTATATGAACCAGGAATTTGTGGGGGAGGTAAGACTTACTGTTATCTTGAATCTAGCCCTAACTGGCCAGTTTAAGAAAACAAAACACTTGTCCCCCTCCCCTCCCCCCCCCCCAAACTCTGGCCTTTGTGGCTCAGAACCACCACATTGATTATTATATCTGACCCTTAAGGGAGATGGACTGAATATTATTTGAATTTGGCCTCTAAAGTAGCAAACCCTTTTTCTGTGTCTTTATGTACATATTATACAGTCTCTTTTGACAATTAATATTTTCCTTTCCTGTTTCCCATGAGAGGGTCCCCTATTATGTAAATTTCCTATTAGCATAATTTTATATCCCATCTCTTGCTACGGATAAGAGAGGGTAACCATAAAGGTCTTTGACATAGCAAAACACCCAATCAGCTGGCCACTCCCTTTTCTTATTCACACCTTTTGCACCTCTTAATATTTCTAATCTATATTTGTGTAGTATAGAAAAATTAGTAAGGGAAAAGGCAAAGAAAGCTAGCTAAGCAGCAGAACAAGTACCAGGTCTGCTGCCCTGGAGAAAGGGTATGCAGAAACCCAATGCAAGGAATCTGTCAGTTGCATATGTTAGGAAGTTTGGGGACAGGGTGAGTGTGTGGTAGATTAACACAGATTATTACACAGATGCACAAGTCAAACCTCTTCCATGGCCTGATATTTGACCTCAGTTACTTGAGATTTATGTAGCAAAACGATTGAAGTGCTAAGTATTGAAGGCCTTAAATGGCAAGAATTTATCAACATCCTGCTTAGAAAGAAAGTGTTTGATCAAAAAATACTTTCTCGTGTGTTCTGTTACCACTCTCATTGAATTTATATCATACTATGCATGAAATAGAATAATCTTCAAAGTAGAAAAAAAAGATTAATTTGAAATGTTGTGTAAGGGAGTATAGAAATCAAAGAGCATTACTATTTATTCTCTAACTTTCCTTTGAATTTTGAGAATTTCCTAAAAATCAGACTTATTTGTTGATTTATTAAGAATAATTCCAAAGGTTTGTGTTCTGTTTGATCATGAGCAGTCCACTTAACACATTCTTAAGAGGGGATATTAGAATAAGTTTACTAAACAAGTAGAACCATCACTGATGATACCCTAGATATGCTAGTACCAATCGGGCTTTTTCTTGGCAGAATGTAGTTTGGGGTTATGACTTTTCACTGCATAAAAATTTAAATATTGGGATTTAAAAAATATAACACTTGCAAAACCTTTTTCATGGGTTTAGAGATACGGTGTGTCCGTCGATATTTTTGATGATAGTATAGTGTTTTTTCATAAATCTGGTCATTCTTGCAATATCCACTGAAACGATTTTTAAAGAGATGTCTTCATTACATACTATACTGACTTGCCCAAATGTGGATACTAGAATTGGTAATGTGTTTGTTAGATTTTAAAGTCTGTAATGCAGAAAAGGTTTATATCTCCAAATAGTTTTTGTATCAAAATATAGTCCAAAATCAGGTCTGAAATGCCTGATCAAGTATGAAACAAATAAATTTAAATTTTACATTTTCATGCACTTGTATATTAGGTATGTTTGAGTGCCTATTCACTAGCAGCAGACTGTGTATGGACCCTTGGATTTCTTTCTATTCATGACATGTTAATGATAAAGTTTTACTTTGACTAGTCCATTTTATTGACATAACAAAAGAATTGTTGGAGCCTAGCGACACAACGTTTTGATAGTGGGTACTGTTTAGCTCCATCTGTTAAACCATTATTATTATTATTTATTTTTTTAATAGGGGAACTTCGTTGCAAGCATGACAGCCATTTTAAGGCAAATGGAAGACTATCATTATGCTCATTTAATCAAGACTTTTGGAAAGATGAGGTCAGATGTTGTGGTAAGTTTAACATTGGCATCTTTACCCTATGTAGCATTTGTCTTACTTTCTGTTTCTGTTAGCATTTGATAAATGCAGTTACAGATTTGAAAAAAAAGGTATTTGATTCATATGACCTAATATTAAAAAAAGGGATCAATGAAGCATCATTACTTCGTCATCTTCTGAATCCAGAAATGGCATATGAAACTTATTATTATACCAAATGATGAAGTAATTGATCTCTCAAGCAATGTTGAAATTTGATGAACATGCCTCTAAAATATTGGATTTAGGATGGGTAACACAAATTAAATCTTAGGAGACAACACTGCCATGGTATTCCTAAAGATCTGTTTTATGAAAGGATGTTCCCTTAATGAGTGAATTTTTTACACTTCTGTTTATAAATAATTGTATCCCCTAAATGTCCCAACTTTCTCTCTACCTTGACTTTAATGTTATTTATAGAACTGCCATTTTTAAGCTTTATCCAGAACATTTTAAGTTTAAAGATGCACTCATTTAATAATCAGCAATAATGATTGAATCTCATCAATTATTTTTGTAATCATTCTTTAAGTCCACCTATGATACAACATAATTAGAGCATAATAGAAAGGAATTTATTGCTAAGCAGATAACTCTAATGACCTGGAACTATCCTTGCCATATGGCAAGTGCATAAGGCAAAGTAGCAACCAAACTTGTTGGCTGAGATCCATCAAGCAGCAGACAAGCTGAGATCTGATCTGCTGTTACATTACAAATTCTGTTACTTAGGAACAATGGGTTCCCATGGTAGAGCATTTTAAGCAGTTTTTGGGTGTATTTTAATTTTAGAACAGACTTTATTCACTAAAAAGAACAGGAGTACTTGTGGCACCTTAGAGACTA